GCATTGAGGACATTGTTGAACACTGTTGGGACTCTTAATCGTTCAAATGTTGTTGCATTATATTCATTTATTCATCCATGAATTGGTATGAATGACATGAATATCCAGAGACTGTGGGTCAAATTATTAATGTGGTTGTAAGAGAGGGTTTTTTAACCTCTCAAATACAACTGTAAAATGGTGAGTAGTCTGGGTGAAACTATGTTACCTTGGTTTTAGCTGCACTTTCCTCCAGCTCATCTAGTGACAGGCCATGTAAGAAAAAACAGATTGAACAGGATCAGCATAAAAACAATATGTGGTTTGTGAACAATTCTTAATTTATGAATGTTTGTATTGTCAAACTTTCAAATTACCTTTGTCATCTGTCACAGATGATATTACAGATTTGATTTCAGACTCTCCTCCTCCTGCTTCTGTGTTATTATGGTTCTCCACCTCCATCTCAACGGCTGCTCATCTTTACAGTCAAGAGACAGAGCCATTCAGACAAAAGTGATAAAAAACAGTCACTAGAAAATGCATGCTACCATTCAAATCAATTCAGAAAATGTTTTGATCAAGAGAATATAAAACATAAGTTCATCTCTTTGTAAAGTTACAACATCTAACACATAAAACATTTCAGTGAACATCTAGAAGATTGAATTGCATGTGATATGTTGCAAATATTAAAAAAAAACTTTTCCTCTTAGAATAAAATGCAAGTCAAGATTTTCTTTTTTGGTTGGTGAAAAAAGAAAAAGACAAGAAGAGTAATATAACATACCATAACATAACAAAACTTAACAACATAACATGACTGCATGCACTACTTCACTGGGACAAATCAACTGACAGCTTTTTTGTTATTGCTATAGATTTTTATTTTGACTAATTGAGAGGGACAGAGAAATATATATATATATATATATATATCATATTTGATATTTATATATACTTAAGAGGAGTAGGAGTAGTAAGCGCACATTCCTAACCTGCTGGGCATTGGCTGACTTGCCACTCCCAAAGAAAAAGATACACAAATGACAATTAAGGAAGAAAGAAAGACATAAATAAATAATCACAAAAGATAATACAATAGAGATAAATAATAATACGCAAGCAGATGAATGACTATATAATATGAACTATAAAAATCTGAGTTTATATGCTTTTTTCCCCTTCTCTCCACCCCACCACCACCCAGAACAAACATTGGCTTCCAAACATGCACACACAAATCCATATACTTTTATATATACACACACACACACACAAACAAAAAAAAATAAAATAAATAATAATAATAATAATAATAATAATAATAATAAATAAATAAATAAGACAAAGAGCCAAAACAGAAAGAGAGAAAGTGACGAAAAATAAAAAGTTAGAAGGTAAATCGGTGTTGTGTCATAATTGGTGGGAGAAATGAGGGGAAAGACAGGGAAAAGAGAGAAGGGGGAGGACAGAAGGAGATGGTTATCGTGGCGTGGGGGCTAGGTCATGTATGTGGCAAGAGGATTTTCTGTGTATTTTGCTGAAAATACAGTATAATTACAAAGTGAAAAAAATGACATATCTTTAAAATGGCAAATGGCAGTGAAGGGCAATGGCAGGAGCAAGGGCGTAGGTTTGGTCTCAACAGTGGGAGGGACACAACAACCCCACCACCTCTCCAAAACAAAGAGGACTTTTTAATGCTGTCAACCAAATGGTTTATTAACATATAAGGTTTGAATTTACATTCAGAAATGTATTTATGCTGTATGTAATAAACTTATGCAGCATCAGATCAAAGATTAAAACTGTCCAACCGAAATTATCATGTGTTATAATAACTTACAAGTTCACATCAGAATAGGTAGACTATGGTTCCATTAAATATAAGTTAGTAATTTACAATTAATCCATAATAGACCAACACTATCATTTTAAAACCTCACCTAAAACCCTGAAGATGCACCTGTTTCCTCATCAGCCTCCTTTACTTCTCTGGTCCGCTGCTGTTCCTGCATACAAAAATAATTCTTCATAAATGATCATGCAGTTGAATCTACAACTGTCTAAAACAATTTTTTATAAAAACTGAACATTATAACCTTCATGAAGGAGGATTTACTGCAGGAATGTTATATTAGACTACATCAGTTTTAGCTGGATGTTTCTAATAAATTGCCAACTGAGTGCATATTAGTAATTATCAATTGTGTTCACAGGCTGGAATTAATTGGTTGATTTTGGTGTTGTCCTCATTAGTGAACTGATTCACCTGTCAGCCTAAATATGTTCTTTAATTAAAGTTTTATCATATATTATTATTATCACCATATAACATGTTTTACCCATACCCTTTTAAAATGTAACACATTTACTCGGACACATTTTAACTGACTTACCTTGTACTTTTATCTGAGAACATTTTCACCGTGATTTTACTTCTACTGTAATAAAATGTCTTTTCAGTAACAGCCGTTAGTAACCGTTGACGTTCCGACGTGCTGACGTTGGTGTAGCGTCTCATCGCCACTCTCTAGAGTTTAGTTAGTGGTAGATTTTATTGCTGCTCTGTCTGAACACAGTTGATGTTGTTGTATTCTTAATCACAGTGACTAACTACCTGCTGTACATTTAAACTTACACTAGTTCTGCTCCAGCTGCTTTAGCGATTTTCACTAATTCAGTGGTTATTTACATGCTGTTCCGATCTGCTAGTTACCTTAGCTTAGCAGTTAGCGCTAGCTTCTCTCCCTCTCTCTCTCTCTTGTTCGTTGAGATTTGAATCAACAGATGAACTTGCTCATCAGAGTTTTCTGTTGTTGTAACTTCAGTTTAGAGTATTGTTTATTATAACTTCAGTGATGTCTGCCGTCTAACCTTCAACACACAGCTCCACTAATTAGCCGAGTCCGCTCGTCAACCGTAAGTGTTCGAGTCTGTCCTTCACCGTTGATAGGCTATTCCTCGTGACGTCAAACCAATCGGATAATGCTGTGGGCGGGACATTGCTCCAGACCACAGACTGGAAACTACATATATCAGAGTAGTACATTTTTGTTTTAATTAATTTGCTCGATTATCGGTTGCGCATCCCTAGAGCCAGGCACGCATCGGAATGATCTAATATGACTTCACTCCTAACATGGTGCGAACGAGGTCACTCAAATATTGATAGGGACAATTCTGTCCTCCCAAAATATTTGTATAGGGGACATGTCTCAATCGTCCATATGCAGCCCTACGCTCTTGGCCAGGAGTGTCATTTACAACCCCTCCTTGATAAGGAAACTAAGTAAACTAAACCATTGTGTCACACAGACAAACTGTTTTGAGTTAAACTTGAGTTAAAAACAAAAGATCAAACCTGAAGGTAAGATAAAATAAACGTGTGTTTCTGCACAGCAAGAACACACACTTAATAAAACCTCTGCAACACAAGTCAGAACAGTCAAGACTTCAAGAACAAACATCACAGTGTGAAGCTGAAGTTTTTGTTTGAACAGTCAATGTCTCTAATAAAAACTGTAGTACTGGTGTACATGCACCAGTCAGGGGTACAACCCCTTATTCCGTTGTATTTTAAATACAATGACAATAAAGGCTTTCTATAACTATTTTACTCTATTTCTAGGCTACATATACTGCTTTTTCGACACATAAAGAAATGTACAAACTCACCTTTCTTTGTGTTTTCCCTGCTCAGTCTGATCTGTGTAGATGCGCCTGTCTTGTTATGAATCCTAACTGTTGTTCTTCCATATATACTGATCAGAGGATTTTAAGATTCGATTCTTGGTCAGCTCCTCAGTATCCCCTCCTACCGGCTCTTAACGAATCAGATACGATGTGAGAGTCTCTAGGAGCCCAAGAAGTGAAACTTAAACTTATTTTTCGTATTTCCCCAAAACCTTGTGACTTCAGAGGAAAGTCTCAAATATTGCTTCATCAAACACAGCTTCATCCATCTTGAAGCAATTTTGCGTAGATCTTAATCTGACTCCGATTATTTATATTATTATTGATGCCTTTTTATTCCGCTGCGGGCGACAGCCAGAGCCGGAGGCAGACTGCGGGTTGTCAGTCCGTCTCATTGTCGTGGACGCGAACGCCTTGAATGAACTGATTAGATATTGGTGGTCCAAGGTCAAGGCCGTGGTGACCTCACAGCCTTGGCTTTGTGAATGTGATATCTCCTTAATGCCTTGAGGGACTTTAATACAATAAAGACACAATTCATTTGTATTTTATTTTGGTAAGTGTTATATTTTTCTTGCACTTGACTTTCACTTGGACAGTAATGATTGAATTCATTCTAACTCCTGGGTTCACTCTCAGCAATTTTCTGAATTTATAACAAACTGTTCTAAATGTTTCTGTAGAGGATTGTTAATGTTCAGCCATGTTAGAGGATAAGACATGTCTGGACCGCCTTCGGCCAAATCCTGATTTTATAACCGCGACATCGTCTGACAAAATCACCAAACACATAAATGAAATACTTACTACTGTATTACTTACTGTAGTGTCATACAAAGTGGGTTTACATTGTAATGCAAGCAGGAATTTCAAGCAATATTTCTGTATTTATTTATTATATCAGTCCCTTAAAAAAGAGTCTAATACTGGTAAATGTTTGATTAACAATCCTGTTACATGTACAGAGTTTTTATAACATAATGAAACATAATGAAAATACAGCCGCAGTAATCCTCAGATTTCTCAGCGCTCAGAACCTGAACATCTTTATTTCTGTAATTACATCTTTGTTATGAGTTTGTGAGTGAGCCGTCATACAACAACAACAACAAAAAGAAAAGAAAATTTAATTCAAAGTAAAATATATTGTTCTTCAATAGTCTGAAACAGATACAAGTGTAATGAGTGCAGTTGTGACAATCTTTAAGCAATTTTAGATCCTTCTTACAAGTCAGTGTTAAAAGCTGTTGTGTTATTTTTCCTGCAGTTGGTAGTAAGATGGTTAACTTACTACAAAACATTTGTTTTAGCAATTTCAGATAGTTAGTTAGTGATGTCTCGTGGCTCCATTCTGTTTGATTTCTGTCTTAACAGTAATGTCTCTTTTGTAGTTTTTGCATTTTTCTGACAATTTCCAAAAACACAAATGGGATTTGCAAAAGGATAACAAACATATAGAAAACTTTAAATCATTTGTCAAAAGCCTTGCAGTGCAGTGAGAGTGGTTCAACATCAAACATCCAGAGTCCAGACCCGGGGCTGGAGGAGGAACGACAGACTATCACACACTCACTGAAAAGTTTCTATGATTTTATTGGAACAATAAAGTTTGTTCCAGAGACAGTTTCAACATCTAGACTTTGATCTCTTCCTCCTCTTCAGAAAAGGCATATGATGTTTTGCGGCTGCGGGTCAAAGCAGGAGAGGGTGTGTTGTTGCTCACCCTCGTTCCCTTTGTGAAGGACCCGCCGCCATAATGACGAGACAGCACGTCAGCCGCCCTCTGGAACCTCTCCGCCTCCATCACAGGCTCCGCCCTCTGAGGAGACCCAGAGGACGCATCAGGTGTCCTCAGAGACCTCCTGTCCTCCTCCTGCTCTGTCCAGTTAGAGCTACATGAGCGCCCCCTGTTGTTGCACATGGAAGGGGTGGGCGAAGTCACCCGAGGGCTCTGCACAGGCGTCTCTGTTAGAGAGCCGTCGTCCTCATCTTCCTCACCTCCTCTTTCATCTTCCTCACCCGCTGCCTGGCTGTGATTGGACATGTGAAGGCAGCTGGTGTTGTCAATCAAGCTGAGCACCTCAGTCATGAGGGAGGGGCCGAGGTCTAAGGTGAACGAGGTGAGGGAATCCGAGCGCGTCAGTGCCAGGCCACCGCTGTCCGGTAGAGACCCTCTCCGGGCGTCTCCATCTTGAAACTGTCTGTCGAGGCGAGAGAGGCGGGGCAGAGTGACAAATCCAGACTGCAGTCCTGCAAACAGACGGGCAGAGAAAACACACTGAGGTCACTGAGATGAACTAATGACACAACGTACAGAAAACATCACGAAACCGTACAGGAACAATATCACCAGCACTGTGTTGTAGTTGGATTTGGGATTTCAAATTATGACAAAGTGCAAATCTCTGATTGAAATCCATCCTAAAAAAGATTTTTTTACAAACACAACAACCTTAAACTAAGCTGGACATAAGATAATGAAGACTCAGTTTTTCTTTGCTACAGTCCCAATTATTTCGAGTAAATCCAATTCCTGTATCAATCAATCAATCAATCAATCAATCAATCAGAGTCTATTTGTATTGCACTTTTCATTCATACACTTACACACAGAGCACTCAGGGATAAAAACAATACTCAAAATTAAGACAATAACAGGAACAAAGATATATATAGAGTAATAAAGATAAAATAATAAAATATTAAAACAGAAGAGGTGAGTAAAACCATAAATGAAAGGTAAGATATTAAAATCAAATTAAAAAATGAAGACAAAATAGTAAAGATAAAATAATAAAATGCTAAAAGAGAGGAGAGGTTTAGAAGAGAATAAAACCAGAAATAAAAGTAGAAATAAAATAAATAACCAGAGATTAAAGTGGGGTGTTAAAAGTAAAGCAGTTTGAGTTTCCCATGCCTTCCTGTGTTGATTGTTATTAGTCCCGTTATTCACTGTTTATTTCACTACAGTCTGTCCTCGTCAGCATTTATTCAAAATTATATTAATAAAAAAAGAAATTTAACAAAATAATAAAACAATAATTGAAATCAAATATTCTGAATGAATAAACTTGTCCCCAGCAGTTCAATAGCTCGACCACAGGGCGGCAGTATGTGACAACCCAGGAGGAGTTAAAGGCGTTTTTCCACTCTCAGGGAAGTGGGACAGACAGTTTTCCGTCTCCTGTACACTTAATATTATAAGTGTCACACAGGATGCCACTGAAAGGAGGGGAACAAGACACATATAAAGACAAATGCGAAGTGAGGGCGGGTGATATTCAGTTGATAAAAGGCTGAATTACTTAAATGTGGGGGGAAAAATGTTATTTACTTTACTAAAAACATGTTGTGAACCACAGTATTAGATCACTTAGTCATGTTTCTTTGCAGTGTTATAATTTAGATTTAATCTTTTGCAGAAGAGTTGCACTTGTGTTCTCCTATTACCCAATAGTAATTGTAATCGTGAGAGCAACTGAGACTGTATGAAAAGGAGGGAAATGAAATAATGACATGTACTCAGATTACCCATCATCCCTCAGTTTCAGCTCCTCATCACTCAGTTCGGGCAAATTCCTGATGAATTGGGTAACAGGTCTGGAGGCGGAGAGGGGATTTCCAGTCCAGACCGTGCACTCCGCCGCCTGATAAGCTCTGATTGGTTAGCAGATATAATGAATGGTGTTTTCACGCAGTCACACATGCACACAGATATGACAGTAAAATGCCCACAAAGTGTCTTTCTTTCTTTCTCCCAAATCCAGCTGTGTGTGTTTGTGTTTATAGACCTAATTGTGCACAGGTGTTGCCTAGGTGATTCCAGATGACTCAGAGGAAGCCCGACTGTTCGCTGGTTGTCTTGGAGGAATGCGAGAACGATGTTGAAAGGAGGGCAACCTCGCTCTCTGTATTTATGTGTCCACCGACATTTACAGTCCTCTTTTCACCAGCTCCTCCTCACGCTGCTGGTCTGCAGGAGGGTGAGGAGTCGGAGCTGAGACTGAAATGACGTTTCATCGTACCTGGGTCCATTTTTCTTTTCTTATTAATACATTGCTGCTTTACCAACGGGCTGCAGCCTATAACTAGGTCATTGGTTTTTCTGATTGGGTCACACATCTAAGTAATGTTCCAGTTTACTGTAACCTAAACAAAGAGACACAAAGTACAGTATGCCTCTTCAAAGGTCTTGACATTTCACATCCGACCCACGCTCCATTTTATTTAATGTGAGTGATGATCTGAGCCTCTAACCAACATAAATGTCTTTTACATGAACACCCAGGAAACTTTTTTTAAATGCTTTGCTGACGCTTCATGTTTTCTCAGTTACAGTCTTTTGCTGATTTTTATCCAAAATGAAAAAAAAAAAACTGCATATTTTATGTAAAATGATTTAAGGACCATGTGACCAAACTGTCAACTTACACTTTCACTTAGTTTAATCTCTCTCGTGTCAATACTAATCAGTCTTATATCTACAGATGTTGTTTCTTCTGCTTTTTCAAAGTTCAGTCAGTTTCTTTCTGAACGCTAGAGACCATCCTGTGACGGGATCCCACGAGCTGCAACACCCGCCATCGTGTTGACGTTCTGACCCACGAGAGGGTCAGACCTCATCCATCCTCAAACTCGGTCCTCACCTTGATCCCAACTACACGTTTGTAAAGTTTTGTCACTTGTGTATCTTGAACAAGACCTTACCAAAAACATTACCAGCCGTGATGTCACGGCTCGTAATTAAGACAGAAATTTGAAGAAAAAAAAATAGATTTGAGTCTGGACTCCCAAACTATATGATGATGCAAAATGGGCTTTAAGGAAAAAACAATGTGTCTACACCTTAAAAAAACTAAAAACCCGTCACAAAAATGATGAAATGCCGGTTTTTGTTCAGTAGAAACGTCAAAAAATGCCTGAACACACCTGCTCTATAAGCTCAGCCAAGCATCTCATGGAAACCTTACTCACATGTATAGATGGGATCTGCACACACACACACACACACACACACACACACACACACACACACACACACACACACACACACACACGGCGTATGATCCCTCTTTGCTTCACTTTTCTAAAACCACATTTCCTCAGGTAACTTATAAAGAAGATGATGTCGCTGTTAAGATGCTTTACGTAAACCCCGCCCCATGCCGCAGGTGATTATCTACGTTATCTCACCATATGTGCAGAAGGAGTCATCTGTTGAGCTGATAGAGCTGGGGAACAGCACCCTCTGTAGGCACCCATTGGGAGAGTCTATGTTCAGCTGGGGCAGGGAGATGGCGTTCTTGATGATGGGCGAGATGTCTGGTGGCGGCGACGACAAGTCCCGGGAGCCCCCCCGCGGACATGGCCCGGAGTTCTTCCGTACGTGGCGAAAGGTGCGCGTGAAGAACCCGCTTGTCTTGGAGCTGTTTGCCGAGTCCGGACTTCCTGGTTCCCTGACGCCCCCGTAGTTGCTAAGGAAGGAAGTGTCACCAAACACGTCACCGCCACGGCCAACATGCATTGTATGGCGGAAGTCGCCCAGCGGCGGGCTGATCATGTCTACAGAGAGGTCGCTCTTGAACCGGCGTTTCCCCTGAGAGCCAGACACAAGGCCCTTAATCCCTGGCAGTTTTCCCAGACTCATGGTGGCAGAGGAGTTGTGTAATTTCCCCCCTTTAACTGGAATGAGAGCGTCTGATTACATGTCAGTCAAATGTGAATTCCAGTAAAGGGTTCACTGTAAAACCAGAGGGAGAGAAAAAAAAAAAAAACTTAAAATGCCAAGACAGTGAGGACAGAAAGCACAAATATGTGGTTGTTCAGTCGGCAGAGAATGTGTGTATAATCCATTCTCCACACGGCCAGAGCCAACTATTCATCCACTGTGGGCCAACCGCTTCCCGTTTGGACCGACCCTGAAAGATGCCAGTGTGGACGTAGAGTCAGTCAAGTCGCCGTCTACGTCCCGCCATCATTCTCCTCTCTCTCTCTCTCTCTCTCTCTCTCTCCCTCTCCTTATCCACAGATACTTCTGCACGTCTTCCCAAAGCGACCGATATGAACGAATGACAGAATGACAAAGACGATGAATTACAAGCTCGCGCTCCGTCTCCTCGGGGTGCCAGCGCTCATGTGGCTGCAGAGTTTGGGGCCGACCGGGCAACTCCTTCAGATTCGCTTCAGCAAATGACAGTTTAGACTTGCACAATCCGGCCACAACTGCAAATACACCGAGATGTGATTTCGGCCGAACAGCTCGGCTGGTGTGTGTGAAAAAAGCAACGAAACACACTGATGTTTACACTCTGTTAACTCTGTATCTATCTAGACTTGGACAACTGTCTTGTTGTCAGTCTCTTGCTTGCAACACTAAGAGGAAACCAAATTATATTTCACTTGCATTTTACCCAAACCTAGTAATGAAGCTTTGAAGTAGCAGATATTATAAATATTAGACTGTTTTCTCCTCTCACTGTTGTTTAGCTTTCAGGTTATCTTGCAGGGATTAGTATCTGAGTTTATGTTTGAGCTGCTACTCAGTTCTCTGTGGTTTTTCACAGCGTCCCACCTGCACCGCATGTCCTCAAGCACTGATGAAGCACATGCATGACGAATCATTCATGTCCTGTGTTCCTGTGCTGTTAAAGAAAGTAACTGCATGCATGAGATCTCAACCCCGGACAGGATCCTCATCCGGTGAGTTGCTCTGCGCTTGCCTTCCTCAAAGTTCAGCAGAGAGAGAGAGAGACAGAGTAGGGGGGGGGTCCACGTCCATGCACCGTCTCCCACTAAAGAGGTTTATCCATGTGTGCACCACGCTGTCCATGGGGCGCCACGTCTGTCGCCATACGTCTTCTTTGTCCCCTCCGCTTCCTCTGTCGCCGAGGCACCAGACCTTTGGACGGTCGGGTGAAAACAATCACAGCAAAGGAAAAAGGAGGGGGACGCTTTCTCGAAAAGGCCGATGAAGTAAAGCGCCGTAATCCAGCAACTGTTTTGTCTGCATCGTCCTGGAAGAAAGATAAGGCTCCTGTCGGATTGTCCGTGCACTGGATTAGCTGATAATCCCTTCTGTCTTCCCTCCCTCTCTGACTCCCTCACTTGCTCTCTGCCTTCTTCAATCCACTTAGTCCTCCAATGGTTTCCAGGTAGGAGGGAGGGTGGTGGTGGTGGTGGTGGGGGGGTCGTCTCTGTTTTCTTTCAGTTCACTTGAGGCCAACTAAGAGAGAAAAGGAGAGAGATGTGAGTTACACATTAGACCAAAGGCTGAAGCAGGAGCCTTCACATAAATGTGTCAGGAAACAGAAACTCTGGACTGACTGATGCTGCGGATGTTTCTCTCTGTGTCTCTGTTGCCTGAGGAGTCAGAAGGTTTTCAAAATAAAACCTGACCACACAGAGTCTCTGGTGTCATACGCAGAACCAGCCCCCTCCATTATTCTCTCCTGAGTCACAGCACCTTTCTGCAGCACTGAGATGTTCAGATTCTTCATCTAATTTGTCCACAGACAAAAACATAAATATCTTTTATTTTATTTCTTTTAAGTTTCTTTTATTTATTAAGCACAAATACCAAACGTGTTGGTTCCAGCTTTTCCAATGTGATGATTCACCATCATAGTGAACTGAATAACTTTGGGGTTTGGACAAAAAAACAGTGTTTGAAAATGTCACCTTTGACTCTGAGAAGGTGTTCTTGGCAATTTTCATTATTTTGAGACATTTTATACTGAACATTTACTCGATTTATCAAAAAACAAACAAACATATAGAAAATATTTACTGCTAAAACAGAGAATATGTCACTTTGTTATTTCTTGTGCCAGATTTTTCCACATTAGAAACATAAGCTGTGATTACACATGAAGCTTTTTTTAAACACACGCAGAGCATTATGTCGGTATGAAAATAAACTATTAAATGGTCTATTTCACAACTATATATTAGCATGGATTAATTTAAAATGAAAATGATCATTAGCCCAATTTTATTAGATGTAGTGATGTTCATACTTTAGAGGCCTTGCTTACAATTGTATACACGACATTTTTCTGTTCATTAAGTAATAATTTAATGACGTGACGTGATGTGTCTCCTGTGTCTCTGTGTTTCCTGGATTCTCCTTCTTCCTGCTGAAGGACTGACTCCAGGTCAGAGGGAGCACCGCTAAGCTCCAAACACGTGACCTCTCCGAACCGCGTCCAGCGTTGGATTAATGTCACAGGCTGCTGGAGATACGAGCCGAGGCCGCTGCCAGGCCAATCTGGACCTGCGATGTAACGACTTGGGCAAGGTGATGGTGCCACTCTTACTGGGCTCAGATTACCTTCCTTAAACCTTCAACTAATCCCGGTTTTTCATCCGCAATCCCGGGACAAATGTCCAGGGGTGGCCGTCATTCGCTGTCATTAGCCCGAGGGAGGGGGAGATCGGTGAAGGGAGGGGAGGTACGGTGAAGGTATGGGTGTGGCGGACTCATTCATAAAGAGGAGGAGGGGAGGTAGGAATGGATGGATTTTATCTGTTGCCTGACCACTCCTGATCCCTCAGCTCGTAGCACTTAGCTTAAAGAGGCGATTATGGCCTGTGGGGCACGAGAAGGTGAGAGACAAGGGAGGCAAATATCCGCCGTCTGTCTCAACAGCAAGTTTGGATGAAATCAGATCATATGAGAAGCTGTTCTGTGCCGAGTTTAACGTCACTTTCCAGATTGATGAACGAACTAGCATTTGTTTCCTTTCATCCATCCTTACTGATGCTGCATTTCTGTCATCTGACGTCGCAGCTGTTCGTGGTGTAATTGACACGTTTTCTCCTGCTTTTATAGCTTCTTGGCTTTGCGAGCAGCTCAACTCAGATCTCTCCATGTACAACAAAGTGTAATACCAACTGTGGAAACTTTACACAGGAAACTGGCCTCGTTGAAACACACAGAAAGACATTAAGATCTGCCAAACATGTTATTTATCCGTAAATTGTACCTGCAGACATCCATAAACAAGCCTGATCCGCGTGAGCTGCCTGACTGATTGCAGAGACAGAGGCAGACGGGCTGGAAAGTGTAATGGGAACAGCGTGCAATGGGGAGAACAGACCGGACGCCATCTATTATGGCCATCAAATAAAGGATCTGAGGACACTGATGAAAAACACATTTTACCTCCTGTCTTTATGTGTTTTTTTCCCCCGTCTTCTATTTTAGCCTCTGACTTCAATCAATCTTGCTGTTTTTTTTTTTATCTCTCTGTTATTTCCCTCTGTCACAAACACACACACACTGTCAAACAGGCCTCCTTTCTCTGTCAGTCCCAGATGTGGTGGGTCAGTCAAACATCTGGCACCACAGAGCCACAACTTGCAGGATCAGGCTCTGGTGACATTTGAGGGACTGTTCAATCACAGTGGCACAGAAAAAGAGGCATGTGTAAGTCCATGGGTTTACACACACACACACACACACACACACACACACACACACACACACACACACACACACACACACACACACACACACACACACACGTCTGTGTCGCAGTGGGTCAGTACTGAGGTTGCCTCCTCCACTGGACCGGAGGGCCGCGGTCGTTTTCCTGCACGGCACCAGTGAACTGTGGTTGAGGTCGGAACACCCGGACCATTACACACAGCTCCAAAATACAACATGCTCTCAGTTTAAAAAGATCTACTGCTGCAACGTGGCAATAGGTCCTGGCAGGTCCTTATGGTGAGGGTGTGTGTGTGTGTGTGTGTGTGTGTGTATGTGTGTGTGTGTGACTGTCACAGCCAGAGCCAAAGGTCAAAGGTCAAGGACACGGTGACCTCACAAAATGCGGTTTTGGCCTTGTGAACACAATATCTCTCTAACGCCTTGAGGGAACTTCTTCAAATTTCATACAAACAATCACTTGAACTCAAGGATGAACTGGTTAGACTTTGGGGGTCAAAGATCAAAGGTCAAAGTCACGGTGACCTCACAAAACATGATTTTTGCCTCGTGAACACGATATCTCCAGAACTCTTTGAGGGAATCACTTCCAATTTTGCACAAATGTTCACCTGGACTCAAGGATGAATTGATTAGACTTTGGGGGTCAAAGGTCAAAAGACAAGGTCACGGTGACCTCGGAAAACCCTTATTAGTCATTACTCAAGACTTATGACAATTATGACAAAATTTCATACAAATGGTTCATATTTTATCTGACTCTGGATAAACAGGGATGTAACCTGAGACCAGTCTGAGTGGCGGAGGGATACGACCACGAGGAGGTGATTCTAGTTTGTGATGATATCTGATTTGGATGTCTGATATCTCACTGTGATGACATGGGTTCATGATGATGTCTTACGGTATTAGACTGAGAACACAGATATGACATATGTATCATATCTGAGCATTGTAACTCGTAGATGAACTTCCGGTTCACACTTTCCTTAATGTTCTGTTGAGTCAACAAAATAACTCACAAGAGGAAACATTGCAGATAAGAATTCACTGCACATCAGACCTCTTCAACCAGTTCAATGACTTCTTTCACAACGTGCAAAGACTCTAAAGAAAACACTGCAAAATAACAGCAGGCTAAGCAAACATATTCATCATTATGGCCTGGTTTAACCCTTAGCTTCATAAATTAGGTTTTTTTATGTATGGGACTTCTGTCAACAGAACAAAGGGGAAACAGTGAAGTGCAAACATATCTTATTCCATTCAAAAGCTCTGCCTAACAAAGAGCATAAGGAAATGTCACCACTCCAAACTTCCACCTAGCAAACATTACAAACATGCAGTTAATGAAACATAAAAGTGGCTGTTCAAAGCTGCTCAGTCCTTTTCACTGTGTATTGTATAAACCCTGTCACTAAAGCGTGGACACTGACCAAACATGGTCCCACCACCTCAGTCAGAGGCAAACTGCAGTTCATGGTCCTTAGTAAGATACAAGCCTGGTGAAGACACATATAATACAGTCTGTTCAAGTTCTATATAAACAGGACCTATAAAAGAACACATCACCGCTTAATAGGAAGTAATGTTGCAGTAGAGGATGGATGTACAAAGGGTAGAGCATGACATGATGTGAGTGCTGATGAAGAGGGACACCACTGCACTGTTTGTAAACGTTTTCCATTCATGATGATGCAGCTTGTTTTCTACTTGACAGGATCTACTTGATACCGTCTTTTGACCGATGCACCAGCGATATGAGCACAGATCTTTACAGCACTGATGGTTGTCTAAAGTTTTCATGCCAGATGTTAAAAGCTGACAAATATTTTAGTGTCCCAAAGTGACAGTGACAGTCCCCTTTTTTAGTGTCCTGTCCCTGGAAATGTCTCCATTTTTAACTGTCATTAAAAACAGACGTCTAGTGTTTGTTTTGGCTAACAGTGGGGGCTAGCTGCTAGCTATAGCAGCTTCAGAAATGAAGCTAAAACCATCAAAAAAAGAGTTATCCAATCAGACTTTTCTTTTTTCCTTTTTATCTCAAGGCAGAATAAAGGTTAGCTGGCTTACTCATTGGTTAGGAGTTTATAACCAGGCAGTAAACAAACAAAAACATACCCAAGCAACGTACCCAAAACCCCGGCAGCTGGAACTTGAAAAAGTTGTTTTTACGTTAGAAGAAGTGAAGGAGAAGTTACCTCACCGTCTGTGGTGGACTTCACATGACAATATTCACAAGAATACTTTTGATTTGATTCTTTTGACCTGTGGACCCTTACGAATTAAAGGAATATAAATAATCAAGGAATAGATAGACAATTGGACTTCATAACTGCTTCAAAGGTAGTGAGTCATCAACAGTTACCAAGTTCAAAATACATGAAACCAGGACTGTCCCCCTTTTTTATTTCATAAAAACATTGGATATTTGTAATGATATATTGACACTGAACTGGTTTTCATTTCGGTAATCTGGTCACCTCAAAATATTAGCTAGTTTCCATTCAGGTGTTTAACACCTACATCATACAGCAGTTTCTGTATCTGTGAAAATAGCCATTTTCCATGAGGTGGTTACTTTATCTAAACCATTTTAAAGCAGAGCCTGCGCAGTGATAAAAACACTTTTTATGACATGTGCAGCTACTGTTTGTTTGTTGGTTTATTTACAGCACAGAGACGCATGGCTTCTCCCGCTTCACAGAAAGCCAATGAGACCGGATTAAAGTCTGTGAAGTAAC